CTGTTTCACCCTAGTTTGGGAATTATCGGCAGTACGTACCCCCTGGATTTCAAATCCAGGACCTTCTGGTTACAAGGCAAGCTCGTATACCATTCAGCCACTGGGACCCGATTCAATGGCCGGTGCATGAATTCTAACTTCTACCCATTCGTGATTTATCGCGACCCCAAACATTGTCGTAGGTGGGACATCCGTCCTCATCAGTGAGTGCGTACTGCCGATGATTCCCAAAGTAGGATGAAACAGCTGTCCAGTACTCCCTGGTTTTCAATGGTTCTTCAACTGATATCAGCCCGTGATCAACTCGTAAAAACATAACTAACCCTTACAAACCAAACTATAGATAATAAAAGTATACTAATAACTGGTTTTGACAAGGGTGCTGGTGTACTTCTTTTGCACTTAAAAGACTACATAGTCTGTCTGTCTGAGAAAATGAAGAATTTATTCTCAGACAAAAATAAGTTGTTTCAACCTTCCAACAAAAGAAACAAAGTAGAATTGATTGAAAAACAGTTTACGAACGTCTTGAAAAGACTGAAAAGTCATCGGTTAATTAGCTGGCTTGTGACCAACAGGTTCAATAATACCAAAACTTTATGGTTTCCCAAAGATATACAAAGTTGGTCTCCAACTCCGTCCAATTCAAAATACATCACATACCCCTTATCATTCTATTGAAAAGTGGTTGGCTGATATTCTGGAACATGTAAGGAAATGTGTATGCATATACTGGCTTCGTGATACGTATCCATTTATCGACTGCATAGAAGAGATGAACATTACTAACAAAAAATATGCCATCTTTCGATATTGAATCACTTTTCACCAATGCCCCACTCACGGAAACTGTTTCTTATGTATAAATATGTAGATAATAAGCAGTTAAAGATTGGAATACTAATAGGGTATTCGAAAGAACTGCTGCAGAGGTGTACTCTTAATGTACACCATTTATAAACAAAAGGATGGGGTTGCAGTGGTATCTCCCTTGGGTCCATTACTAGCAGGCCACCCCCACCTTCGTTTAAGGGAAGTGAATCGAACTTATCTAGCAAAGGTCTACGAATGTCTGTCACAACTTGGAAGTATTTCAAGGGAAAGATAAAAGTTCACCCGCACACGATCATATCAAGTTATTTGCTGGATGGGGTGTCCATTAGTAGTAGTAGTAGCTGTCTGCTAGCCGAAATTGTTGGACAGCAATTTACGTCAATGTTCACGTCCCAAATCTTGGTCATGAGAAAAAACAAGAACAAAGCTTAAACTGGAGGAACTCAACAACCAGTCACAGCAGACTTAACGTGTGCAAGTACGATTCGCTGCTTCTCTGTTAACAATAACGAATGAAAATGTACATAGAAATTTATAAATATCTGTTGATTTTCTCAATAAACTATCCTTTGCCTGGTCGTTGTCTTCTGTCGTTACAGTATCATCTCTAGCCGATTAGTAGAAATCATCATTTATGCGCATAAATGAATTGGATCAAAATGCTTTTGTTTTCTTCAAACTGTTTTAAAGGTTTCCACTTACCTTGGATTTTCATTTTTTTTTACTCGGTGATTATATCTTTCCGATGCAACAGAAATATACCTGCTTTTTCTTCTATCTATAATAGCCTGCTATTATGAAAAAAGTATGTATATATGTACACTACACATCTGAACCACTCACATGATAAGTAGATTAATAGACAGAGAGAGAGAGGTAGTTTGTAAACATTATAGATTAAAGTGTGTATCACTTTGATACGTTTTTTTTTCTGTTGTATATATGCAAGGTTCTTTTTTGTTGTTGTTGTTGATGATGTTGATGATGGTGCTGATCAATTATCATCATCTATTACCATTACTTACTTCTTTAATAAAAACACAGTCTTACAGTGTTTACTTCAAGTGTTGTATACATTTTAGATAGTGTTACAGATTTTCAAAGCTTTTTACATTCTAATCAGGACTAGTAGTAGTTAAGTTTTAAACCGATGCCTCGTAACACACTATGTGCAGACCACCATATTGCTGCTGATCATATAAACGAGATGCCAGCTGCTGATATACGATAGTTTTATAATTGACACTGAGGGTAGGTAGTTCCTGGAATACCTTTGGTGAAGTCTTTGGCCTTTAGGTGAAGTATGGTTGCATAGCTGAAGCTTAAAATAATTGACAGAAGGGCACCATTAGCAGTGGAGCCTGTGGTCTAATTCAACTCAACCCAGACAACTGTTAGGATTAACAGATTGAGAGGTCTTTCTTGATTCGGTTGATGGTGATGCCTGGCTGTTATGAGTTGGTGGAGTGATTTGTTTGGTTAATTCTGATAACGAATGAGACTATAACGTACTCAATAGTTGATGAGTCTTCTGTACTCGTTCAAGGTGTACGGCTTCTATTTTTTTTCTTTATGGAGTAGTATGGTTGTGATTTGGCAGGGTGCAATGCCAGTTTTTACTGCTTTAAGGGACAGGTACCCTATCAGATTTGATTCAACTTTACAAATAAGTTGAATGATGAACTCATTAGGTGACATTTCAAGTATTACTCCTCCTGGTACACGTAACTGAAAGAAGACACTCGTGTTAATTGATATGAAATGAAAACAAGTGATTCAGTTAAGGGACTCTTCAACAAATTTATTATCATATATATATATATATATATATATATATATATATATATATGTATTCCTGGACCTTATTCAACAGCTGTACGACAACGGCACATGTCAAGTGATCCACAACGGAAAACTCAGCGAGGCATTTGGAGTAAACACAGGAGTCATACAAGGGTGCTTATTATCACCAGTGATATTCCTAATTGTGGTGGACTGAATTATGCGTCAGACAGTGGGAAACGAGAAGACAGGGATATCCTGGACCGACGTGAAGAACCTAGAAGACCTAGATTTCGCGGATGATTTATGTCTGATGTCACAAAAAATCGAAGACTTACAAGCAAAAACCGACAAGCTGGTTGAAGAAGCAGCAAAAACAGGACTGCAGATGAACATAGACAAGACGGAGGTTATGAAAATAACCAAACAACAACAACAGCAGCAACATCCAGCGCCAATCACCATCAACGGGAGGGATTTGAAAGAGGTTACTTCATTCACTTATCTAGGTAGCTTTGTCTCAACTACAGGAGGAACAGACGAGGATGTCAAATCGAGAATCGGGAAGGCGAGAAACACATTCATCAACCTGAAACCAATCTGGAAATCTTCGTCACTCAAATCAACATCAACAACAAAATTCGGATTTTCAATACAAACGACGTCAAGTCAGTCAGTTCTTCTATACGGATGGATCAGAAACTTGGCCAGTGTGTCACAAAGAATATTTCCAACAGCCTGTTGCAGACCTTTATCAACAACTGTCCTCGTTCTATACTGAAGATCAGATGGCCCCTGGAAAGAGTCATTAACAAGAAACTATGGGAACAACCAAACAAAACAAGAACTAATCGCTCAACAAATATGCAGGAGAAAGTGGAGATGGATTGGACACTCACTGAGCTGAGGAGGCGGCTGGGTGACATCTCGCGTCAGGCCATAGCTCGAGTGGAATCTGAAAGGGAAGCAGCGAGTGGGACGTCAGTGCAAGGGTGACATGGAGGAGATCGTGTGAAGAGGAGTTGAAACAGTATGGACTAACATGGATGCAGGTGAAAAGTACAGCTGAAGACAGAAACAAGTGGAGACGTGTAGTTGAAGCCCTATGTTCCACTAGGAACCCAAGGGAACATATATATATATATATATGATTTTTACGAAATAATGATGTGAATAGGGATAAAATAAGTTGTATAATTTGCCAGACACTTCGTGCCATGCTTAAATCTTTGAAAAGGGGTTTAGAATTACTAAGATTAATAGGAAACTAGAACATTACATACATAGCACACTAAAAAGTTTGGTAAAATAACATTTCAAAAAGGTTATATTGAATTAAATTTTAATTTGAGGGAGTGACAAGTGAGATAATACGAGAAATTGTTCAAAATTAAAGATAATAATTCTATTGGTGGATATACAGATTGAATAAGCGAAACGAAAAAAATGAAGAGGGTTGAGTTAGTAACGTGGACTTGCATAATTTAACATAGACGGATTAGAATCATGGAAAAAGGAGTGGTTGAACTAATTGTTTGTGCATTATAAACAGACCTGGGTGTTTTTTTTATTATTTCGATGGTCAAAGCTTCAGAGCAGTACATATGAGTTGGACACATAATGGCTTCGACAGGTGTTATTTTTCGCCCTATAGATAACTTTAAAGAAAGAGACTGTTGGAGTGAGGTGACCAGTATCGACCATATTATTATTATTATTATTTGAAAAATATGACGGTTAATTATAGCTGTGTTGGTGTTTCAGGGGGGGAATGGCCGCCAGCCTTTGCACGTGGTCCCGGCCGACGGAATGCTAAACTTTGTCTAACCGGTGGTAAATCCGACAAACAGGAGAGGTTGGGTGTGAGGTTAGCCGTCCCGCCCTGCGGTGAAAACAACAAAAATGCTACTGAAACTTCAAAGCCTAACGATTACAGCCGTATGAGAAAAACACAGTGTGATTATAAATTCCTAGGAAAGAGTCTCTTCACCGAACAACTTGTTTTCATTTCCTGAATGTCCTAATTGACAGTTCTCTATGGATTACCTTCAACGTGCTGTACCCTAGTGGTCATGGCTTCCCACTCTAGAACCCCACGTAACTGCCTGAATAGCTCTAGTCCCTGGTGGGCATCAGATTAATTTTAAGGGATTGGTTTTTTTGTAGGGATTTTGTTTGATTGGTTGGAGGATTTCATCGTTAGAGAACCACTGGATAATCGTGACGAGTAAGGTGTACAGCAGGTTGTGAAGGTGAGGCAGTAACTCATCTCTCTCAATCAATTAATTGATATTTGTGTATTTAATCTTCATTGTTTTTTTTAGATTTTTCTTTTGTTTTGTTCATCTGTCTATTGTTGTTCTTGTTTTGTATTTATTTTCTAGGTCGTTTAGATAGTCATCGAAATAATTCAGATACTACTAATAATTCAGATACTACAAATCCACTTGGGCATGCATTATCTCCAGCTGATTTAATATATCGACTGGGATTACATCAACTCTTATCATTATCACCGGTTCCGTTAACTTCACGTGATTCACCAGTGTTTTCAGCTAATCATAGCCCTACACCAAATTTAATACCATCGAATTCAAATATTGGAAGTAATCAGAATAATACAGGGAATATTGGTGCTAGCAGTAGTACTAATGCTACTTCTACGACTACCACTATGACTATTGCTCAGCCTTCATTAGTCAGTCAGTCTTCGTGTATGGATATGCCGTCTGTTCAGTGTGAATGTATGTCCTTCCGTTTTTATTATAATGATTATTGCTTTGTTGTTGTTGTTAATTATAGAAGCTAAATATTTGTTTGTTTGTCCGTTTGTTTTTTCTTCATATCGACTGAAAAGTAAATCAGGTGTTAGGGTAATTAGCAAAGCTGAGGTTAACATTGTGAAGCTCGTATTTTATGGACTTTATAGCTCTTTTATTCATAGTATAATAATAATAATAATAACTTTATTCTAGACAATGTATGTTATCACAGAGTACAGAATTCTTAGCAAAATATATTTACTCTTCGTGTAGGATATTGAAGTAAAATAGTACTTGCTAGTATAGTATATCACAGGCAGTCTTTTGACCAGGAAGAGGGTGCATTGATCATATATTCACCCTTCGACAGATTCTGGAACAAAATATATATATTTCTTGACCTAAAGGCGGCATTCGATTCTGTTGACCGAGAGGTAATATGGCGATGCTTGGCTGTGAAAAGAATGCTGAGAAAATATATTGCACTTTCCTCGAGTTCATACAGCCAGGTGAGAGCTTACGGCGAGTTGTCATCTGAAGTGGTGCCAACTAGTGGTGTCCGTTAGGGATGCCCACTATCGCCATTTCTATTCAATTTCATCATAGATGTACTAATGGACATAACTCGAACTCACTTCAGAGACTCAGGGATTGACTTGTTATCAGGCTATGAATAATCTTGTTGACTTAGAATATACAGATGATATAGTTCTGCTAGGTAAAGACGCTGCTAGATACTGGCTGGCTGGATTCAACATAGAACTTGGCACCGAAGTGCACCAGTTCCAGTTGCCATGTTCCAAATAGCACACAAAGGTAGACAAGAAGTAAGTGAAGAGAATCAATAGTTTTGACAGGTATAAGAGTGAAACAGAATGAGTAATGGTAGAAAGGAATATGAAAGATTACAGAGACTGAATACATCTGCGTAAGCCATTGACAACGATTTTGAGCCATGTCACCTATTGTCTCCAGCCATTGATTCTTAGAGTCCCGAAGGCGGGCCCCAACCCCGAAGTCTGCATATCCCTACCTGACTCAGTTTAACTGTCAGGGATTTCATGGATTGATTGATGGCATGTTTTTGTTTGGCCACCTCTTACTCTTTTCCAACCTGCACCTATATCAGCTAGTAATGCCTGTCGTGGGAGGCGTGCGCAGCACATGACCTATCCATCTCAATCTATGTAATTTTATAGCTGACGCTGACAAAATGCAGAGTCTTCTGAATACCTTGAGCTGCAATTTTCGAATGCTTGGCATGCTATTCGCTCCCGCCAAATGTAAGATGATGCTACAGGACTGGGCTACATCGACTCTTAGCTTAAAGATAGGGGGTGAAGTAATAGGGTGTGTTGGCCACTTCACTTATTTAGGAAGTTCCATCAACCCCAACGGGTTGATTGCTGCCGAAATCTCCGCACGGATACAAAAGGCTCGTTTCGCATATGTCAGTTTACGCCGTCTCTGGCGTAGGCGTGATATCCGGCTGGCTATCAACCGAAGGGTGTGTGTACTGCTCAGTAGTCTGCTCCATCCTCCTTTATGTCTGTGAGCGAGACATGGTCATTGAAAGTGGAGGACATGAAAAGGCTGACTGGCTATTTTTGGTCATAGGTGCTCGCGTTCTATCTCCTGTGTGAAATAGTATACGAGGATGAGCAATATTGAGGTTTGGCGTCGAGTGCTAGATAAGGAGGGGAAATCAGTCGACGAGACTGTGAAATTACATCGACTGAGATGGTTAGGACATGTGTTACGCATACCTGCCTAACCATCGCCTTCCTTGACGGGCAATGTTAGCTGATATAGGGTCATGTTGGAAAAGGGTTAGTGGTGGTCAAACCAAAACATGGCCTCATCAGTCAGTGAAATCCACAACAGTTAGTTTAAGCCACGTAGGAAGATGTAGACTTCCTGGTACACACCAATAACTGGAGACAATTGGTGATATGGCTCAAAATTGTTCTCAATGACTGGCGCAGATGCATCCACTCCTTGCAACTTATAATACCCGATGAAACCATATTGTTCTTCGTTATTAATATTCCTTTCGTTTCATATCCCTGTTTACTGTCTCTATTTTGCATTTCTTCTACTTGCTTTGTGTGCTGAGTGTGCAGTGTGGCGACTCGAACTGCTGCACATCGGTGCACAGTTCTGTGTTGAAACCAGTCAGTCAATCTTATCGCATATGACACTGTGTTGTTCCACTAGAGACAAGACTTAATCCTATACGACAATTTTTTTCATTTCTTTGAAGAATTGTACAGTATTGCATTGAAAGTTGATTTAAAAAATATACGCGAATTCGTGTACTGATCCAAAGAGATAATTTTATAATTTAGAATGATAATATATGAGGAAGAGTGTGATATATATATATATATATATACTGGATAAAAATTGAGGATTGCTCAGTGATTTAAGCAGGCTGCCGCTTAAATTTATCAAACAGGATATTATAATCTTACATATGAAAAGTGCGCAGTTAGTCAACAGAGATTACACTTTTACAAGAAATAAAGGAAGCAATAAATTATTGCTATTATTATTAATACTATTAAAACATAAGCTTGGTGCATAATAGGTGGGGGATACTTCCAGGAAGCCTAGAGCGATCAAGGTGGTTTCCTTGGGGTCCACCCCTTGACTTGAAGTCTTATCCACAAGGCAGTAGAGTAGCGTCTCCATGACTACCAGTGATCAAAACAGGTTCACACGCCACTCTCTCCTTTGGGATTCTGCAACCCATGCACACCACATGGGTTTGGAATCAGGGTTTTTTAGCTCCCCTAGATAGGCCTGGTTGTTTACCAATCCGGTTGTAAGCGCCAGATGTTCAAATTCGCCCTTTCACTTTTTTGTGGGAAACTTCGACACCACATGAAGTCAATGAACAGGACTTACATGATAGAGACTGTGAACGCGTGGAGTCTACCCACCTTTGGTCACACCAGGTCGCTTATAGGGGGAAATAAATAAATAATTATTTCATAACTCTAAGGAACAAATAAAGTATTGGCATTTGCTCTTTAGCTTTGCTATGCCAACATGTGCACGCATTTTTCACTATTTTACTGGATACTATGTTAGTATGTAATCCCATATCATATAGCGAAACATTATTATCTATAGGATAACTTTAGAGAAATCACTGGAAACCACGGAGCACTTGACAGCTTCTTAGTCCTATTTGGGGGCCCCTTAGCACTACGCGCCCACGACCCCATTGTAGATCGAACCTAGGATCTTCAGGTTACGAGACCGAGGTCCTTAAGCATTCAGCCACTTGGGCCGAATTTCAGTGACACGTGCATTCTAGCTTTCATGTCTGACCACAGATTGGTATCAGTTAGAGGAAAGTGGAGGGGGGTACTAGACTGCTATTTCATCCTAGTTTTGGAATCACCGTCAATGCCCACCTGCCGGGGTTCTGATGCGCTCTAGTGATTGGCTACAGGAAAAAGTTTCCTGGAGTTTTAGTTGAAAATCGTGATCAATGGGATACACCCGGTCGGGAACGAGGACAAATACTCGCCACTGATGACATTGGCTGGCGGCAGTAGCGCTTAAATCACGAATTGGTAGAAGTTAGAATTCATGAACTGGCCATTGAGTCGGCTACCAGAGGCTGAATGCTCTACGAGCTTGACTTGTGACCTCAAGGTCCTTGGCTTGAACCCCGATGGGTGGGTGTATACTAACAATGAGTCTGAAAGTAGGACGAAACAGCTGTCCATTACTCCTTGGTGGTTTCCAATGTTTTTCCAACTGGTGTATCAATCAAACCTGAAAAAAGAAATCAATTCCCCAACAAACTACTTTTGTCAAATAAAGTTACCTATTTATCGATTCGATTCGATTCTACTTTTTTTTCGTGTAACAATTTATCTATCCCAATAAATTTTTACTGTACTTAAATTTGTATTTTTCTTTTTTATCTATTTGTAGCTGAATCTCAGAACTCACCAAATGTGCTTCCAAAATATGCCAAACGATCAAAGTATTCTTAAGTGCATAGAAGAAGAATAAATATCTGGACACATACATCTATATATACATAACCCCACACCTCCCTTTACACACACACATGCATAAGACAGACAATTCACAGAAACTTTCTCAAGATGACTAATATTCGTTTTATTATTATTATTATTATATTTTTTCATCACAGAGAACAAATTCACTGTAAAACATGAAAAGACTCACCCATTCTCTTTTTTACGGAAGAAATTTTCATTATTGTTATTATTATGCGCCATATATTACATCATAAAATGGGATCAGCTTTTGTCTTGCATATTGCCCTGCCCTAATATCTGTTACTATTTTCCTTATTCATATCTATTCCCCCCCCCGCCCACTCTGTCTGTCTCTTACTCACTCATTCTCAGTTGTTACACCTGCTCAAAAGAATATCTTCATCACCATCAATATCATCGTTATCATTCTTATTATTATCCAGAATATAAACGAACCTACTCAACAACAAAAATCTCAGTACATTATTATTATTATTATAATCTGAGCATTTTCCCCTGTGTCCTCACCCACGCACACACAGACACACACGCACGCACGCATACATACATACATGTACCGACGACTATTTTACCTTTTTTCTTACTTCCATTATTATTTTGTCTGTTATGGATTAGTTAACCTTGGATTCCCCATCCCCCGTTCCCGAGTAATACTCATATAATAATAATAATATTTCTATGAATTCTGTACAAAACTCTATAAGGTTTTCATCCTTTTTGTTGTTGTCTAAACCGATGCAAACTGCTCATTATCCGTAAAAGTGATTGATAGGTGTGGTTGGTGGTAGGTTGATAGGTTTGTAGGTACGTAGGTAGGTGGTTAACACCTTGAACCTGGTGAAAATTTTTTCAAGTTTATTTAATGCTAGATAAATTTCACTATTTTACTATCTACTTTTTTATCGATTTCTGTTTTTGTTTGCGTGTGTGTGTGTGTGCCTTTCATTTCTCGCTAATCTCTTCCACTGTTATCACATCATCAACAGTTAATTCTTGTTATTTGTAAGCTAATTTAATTAACTCTAGTTAATTGATCATGTTGCGTAGACACAGCAGTGAAGTTTGTTTATTCTAAAAGCAGTGATGAATACTGTTCAGTCTCCCTCTCTCTCTCTCTTTCTTACTCTCACGCTCTCTTCTCGTGCGTGGGTGTCTTCCTTGCACCACCCCCCCTCCTTTTTCTTCATCTATCCTCTTCACGTTTGTCATCTTATTCCTACTTCTATGAAACAAGTACTCGCGCCTACACACACATACGTTTATCTGCCTTTACTTGATTGACCACACACACACAAACTCAGATCCCCTGTGCTGTTTGTTACTGTTCCTTCTTTGGGTTGTTTTTTTGTGTGTGTTTTGTTTTGTTTTGTTTTGATACTTGATAAGATTCTTTTTGTCATGATTTTAGACATTGATAATATAAATAATATATATATTTTCTACTCTTTTATTAATCATTTACAAAATAGATTATTATTATTATTAATATTACTAATATCATGATTTTTATTTTTCCAGCAGATGTCGTTTTACTTCGTTTTTTTTACTTCTTTAACTTTTTTTTCTTTCTTTCATTTTTGTTTTTATTTCAAACAAACAAATCAATCGCTTATCAGATTTTATACACTCACACACGTCATCATAATGAAGTGATCTTCTCTCTGGGGTTTTCTTTACTTTTGTCAATTGACCAACTGGTTGGTGTTCTCCTCTTTTTCTGTCTTCATCGTCTCTTGTCTCTTTTTTTGTATGTAACTTGATGACAAAACGTTGTATGTGTACAAGAGATGAAAAGAAAAACCAACACATGTGGACCAAATTGAATTGTTTTTTTCTGTACTTTATTTTATATATCAGAGCTTCTGCGATGATGATCACGTTCTGCATAGATTGGAAGCGATTATTTTTAGACTTGATAGTTTATCTTCAGTGTATTGGGTGCGTTAAGTTGTAGTAGTAGTGTAACGACAGAAGACAAGGGTCAGGCAACAGATCGTTTATTGATAAAATCATCAGGTGTTTATAGATTTTTATCTGCATTATTATTAGCCTTATTGTCTCCTGATTGGTTGTTTTCTTGCTGAAGGTTATTCTGTACTGCTTGTGACTGTTTCTTAGAAAGTTAAGCCACATATCTGCGAATCGTATTTGCACACGTAAAGTCTGCTGTGACTGGTTGTTGAGTTCCTCAAGGTTAAGCTTTGTTATGGTTTCTTCCCCAGCACGTCGGTGGTATAGCGGTTAGGACGCTCGCCGACCATGCACATGGCTCGGGGTTCGATTCCCGGCCGACGCACTCCTTTGCCTCGCTGAACCAGAAATAATGCTGGTAAAGAGGGAAGGTTGGGCATGAGGCTAGCAACCCCATACTGTAAAATAAACACTGCTACAGAAACTTCAAGCCAACTAGCTTGAAGCCCTATGTTCCACTGGGGAACGTGAAGGACAAAAAAATGGTTTTTTCTTATGACCAAGATTTGGAAGGTAAACATTCACGTAAATTGTTGTCTGCAATTTTGTCTTGCAGACAGCTCTCACCACAGTAGTATTATTATTCCTTTGGGTTCCAAGTGGAACACAAAAGGCTTCAGGAGGACATCTTCATTTCACCTTGTTCTCTCCAGTCCTTTCTAGAGATGGCTCCACTATTTCCCATAAGTTTTCATTTCCTGACCCACGCACAACTTGCTGTTTCCCATCTGGGTTCTACTCGAGGGCTTGACTAGCGCATTATATCACTCAACTGTATCCTCGGTGTTTTTTTTAGTCTGTACCCATTTTCCTGTGCATAAGTGTTGAGTGATAGGCTCTTAGTTGGTTGGTTGGATACACTGAAGAGTCGTCTTTTTGCTTATCCTTCTGGTCAGCCATCTGATCTTCAATATTTTCAGCTAGTGGAGGCCGCTATTTATGTTAGTCTGATGCCTGTTGGAAGTGCTTTCGATGATGTGTATCTCTGATATTAGTGTTTTTCTTACTTTTCCGATTCTGATTGGCTTTGATACCCTAATCTGTGTCTGCGCTTCTGGTTGAAATGATACTGCCTAGACAAATGAAAAGGGTGATTCCCTTCAGATTTCTTCTGTGGGGAGTGATTGGCTGATTGATTGTTCTTGTTAGTTACGTATCTTCATCATCTCTGTCTTCCCTGCTTCTTCTTCTGGCTTACCAGTTTCTGCTTGTAGGTCTTCGAGTTTATGTGATATATTAGACATAAATCATCCGTGAAGTCCAAATCTTATAGAGTCTTCTTTCCGGTCCAAAGTATCCGTGTCTTCTCATTCCCCACCGTCTGTTGCATTGTCCAGTCAGTCCAGTCCACCACATTTAAGAGTATCAGTCTCGCCTTACTCGTGTCTTCACTTCAACGGTTTCACCCAGCCTTCCGATGTGAATCACTTAACACTTGGCATTAGCATATTGCTGTTGAATGAAATTCGTAAAGATTTGTATCGTACCTTGTAGTAGTGAGTTACAATTTAGCGATCGGATTGTACACCTTTCTTTCTGACTGTGATTAGTTCGTTGTTATGCTACACAAGATCATTTTGAATGAAAGAATAATAATACTTGTGGGAAGTAGTGAAGGAAATAAGTTACATCAACCAGTCAATGGAGAGTAGTCAATTTCATGTTAGCTAACTATGAGTACAGCTTCGGCTAGCAAGCTAAGAGACTCTCCATTGCATTGCACTTTAAACTGAAGTAGATCGATAGAATTTAACGTAATTTCATAAGTGGTGGAAAATAGGTTCCACTGTTCGTTCCACTTGGGTACTAACCAGTCGAATGTGTATTTGCAGTTCATTAAGTGACTGTATTTCTATGAAGACTTAAATCCAGTACTACTTATTACCTTGGAGTTGAAAGCATTATATAAGAGAATTCGGAACTATGAAAGCCATCTCTTGTATAAGAAGTTTTATTTGCTTATGAAAACTTACTGATTCTCCGTTGTTCATTCTAATTTAAAAATTTCATACGCTTTTCACTAGACACAAACTCACGTAGCCGTGTAAGGATGTCCACTTTCCCCATTTCTGTTTAAATTCATCATAGATATCCCAATGGAATCGACTTGTTACCAGGGAATAGTCTTATGGACTCAGAATATGCAGATGACACAGTCCTGTTAGGGTAGGATGCTGACAAAATGCAGTCTTCTGAACACCTTGAGCTGCAATCTTCGTATGTTTGGCATGCAATTCGCTCTTGCCAAATGTAAGATGCTGCTACAGGACTGGACTACGTCAACTCCTAGCTTAGTGATAGGGAGTGAAATGATAGAACATGTTGACCACTTCACCTATTTGGGAAGTTGTATCATCACCAACGGATTGATTGGTGACGAAATCTCAGCATGGATCCAAAAAGCTCGAGCTGCTTTCGCTAACTTACACCATCTCTGGCGTAGGTTTGACATCCGACTATCAACCAAGGGACGTGTGTACTGCTCCGCAGTTCGTTTCGTCCTTCTCTATGGCTCTGAAACATGGCCAATACGAGTTAAAGACATGAAAAGGTTGACTGTTTTTGATCATAGATGTCTACGATGTCTTTCTCACGTTAGGTGGTATAATAAGGTAAGTAATGTTGACGTTAGGCGTAGAGTGTTGGGCAAAGAGGGAAAATCAATAGAATAGGCTATAAAGTTACATAGATTGAGATGGTTAGGTCACGTGCGTGTGCATGCCTAACCATCGCCTCCCCCGACGGACGGGCATTACTAGGTGATATAGGTGCAGGTTGGTACAGAGTAAGTGGTGACCAAACAAAAACATGGCCTCATCAATCAATGAAATCCTTGACAGTTAAATTGAGTCAGGTAGGGAGGGAGATGCAGACTTCCGGGTTGGGGCCCTCGGGACTCTAAGAATCACTGGCTGGAGAAAATAGGTGACATGGCTCAAAATCGTTGTCAATGGCTTACGCAGATGTATTCAGTCTCTGTAATCTTTCATATTCCTTTCTACCATTACTCATTCTGTTTCACTGTTATACTTGTCAAAACTCTATTGATTCTCTTCACTCATTTTCTTGTCTACCTTTATGTGCTATTTGGAACATGGCAACTCGAACTGGTGCACTTCGATGCCAAGTTCTATGTTGAATCCAGACAGACACTTCTGTTTAGTAGGTAACTGGATAGTGTTTTGGCTTCAATTTGTCGTCTATGGTAGCTTAAATATCATTCAGTGAATAGCTTCATATTCCTGCGTACCCTATCGAATAAATATATATCTGATAAAAGAACGTACTGTTATATAGTTGGTTTGTAAGGATTAGTTTTGTTTTTACGAGTATATCACGGATTGATATCAGTAAGAAAACCACTGAAAACCAGGGATTACTGTTCAGCCTTGTAACCGGAAAGTTCTGGGTTCGAACCCCAGTTGGTGGATACTGCTGATGATTCCCAAACTAGGACGAGGTAGCTGTCCAGTACTCCAGTGCTGGTTTTCAATAGTCCTCTAACTGATATCAATCCGTGACCAACTCGTAAAAATAGAGGCTACATTTTATTCAGCTAGTCGTTCATTTCCTCTTGGTAGTAAAAGTACCCGTGACTTTTATGCATCAAATCATAGCTATTATTGATTGTCTTTGTTAGAGTTCTCCATAACACTATCAAAATCTGCTGCCAGTATCTGGTTCCACCTATATAGACTGGGTTTACTACCCAAGATCCAAGATATAATGCGTTAATTTCGTTATAATAGTCTAATAGAGCTAAGGAATTTCACATTTGATATTAATCATGAACAATAAGTCGTTTCGGTAACGTTGTCCAGTAGACAGTACTGTTTCACTGATAAACAAACAACCTAGTGTGGAGTCACACACCACCACAAAGCCTAAGTTTAACACGCAATTAGGATTCTGTCATTCATTCTCTGTATGTAATGAGTCAGTAGAGGTGAAAAGTTATTTATGGTGTTCCTTTGTACATTTTTGAATAGAATAATTTAGTCACAGGTTCAATCATGAGGTGACATCAGTTAGTGGCTGTTTCATCCTAGTTTGGGACTCTTCGTCAGCACGCACCCATTAAGGTTTGAATCCAGGACCTCCTGGTTACAAACCGAGCTCACAAACCATTCAGCTTCTGGGACCCGATCCAATGGCCTATAAATTCTAGCTTCTGCCAATTCGCAGTATATATA